TTTACAACACGGATTTGTTAATAAAAGATCTATCAACACTAATTTGTTTCGGTTCACTTATGAAGTCAATAACTCATTTGAGAATAAGATCCAACTGGATACACTTTATGCAGACTTCGCGAAGGCGTTTGATAGAGTTAATCATAAAATACTATTGAGCAAATTAGAATATTTTGGTATAAATCATGGCATTTTAAGAAGTTATCTGCAAGACAGGCAATTTTTCGTTAAGTTTAAGGGGCAAATTTCTAGTTTTTGTGATATTACCTCCGGAGTTCCTCAAGGATCAAATTTTGGACCGTTACTCTTCGTATTATCTCAAAATTTTCAAGGAAATAACTACTGTTAGAGATTGTATAGGACTCCAAAGGGATATCGACAGAATTTATGAATGGAGTGATAAAAATAAATTATATTTTAATCTAAAAAAGTGTAACATAATGACATTTACATACAAAATAAACCCAGTATATTTTGAATATATTATGGGGGAGAATACTTAAATAGAATTAATGAAGTTAAAGATTTGGGAGTGAGGTATGATTCAACTCTATCATTTGCAGGGCACTTTGAAAATATTTGCAAGAAGGCAAATAAATCTTTAGGATTTGTTATAAGAAGTTCTAAAGAATTTTCTAATATAAACACAATAAAAACATATTTTACTTTAGTGCAACCTATTTTAGATTTTGCTTCTATTATTTGGCATTCACAGCCGTATACTTTTTTGAGTAAAATTGAGAAAATACAAAACAAATTTTTAAGATATTTATGTTTTAAGGAACATAATATATGACCCGATTATAATATAATAAAGACAACACATTTGAGGAGCACCTTTAAAATTAATTCTCTTAGTTTAAAAAGAAATGTAAATATGTTGATGTTTTTATATAAAATAATAAACTCAGAAATTAATGATCCAAATATATTAAGTATCATAAGCTTTAATGTGCCTCGATACGGTGCTCGACATTTTCAAACTTTCAGAGTTCCCTTCTATTCTTTGTCATCCACCGCCCGATCTCCTCTGCCAACTATGCTTAGACTTGCAAATGAAGTAAGTTCCTTAACAGAATTAGATTTTTCATTGACCCTACGACAATTTAAGAAAATTGTTAATGACTATTTTAATTAATTTATCGATATACCTATGATTGTATTAATTTTTTTTTTACTTATATTAGTGTTTAATAAACAATACTTGTGTATTGGATATGATTGTATAATAATATTTGAATTAAGTATTCCATGTAATTAGGCTTGAAGCCTGTTTGGGATAAATAAATAAAATAAAATAAAATAATTTCTAGCTAATGTCTAATTCGTCTATCTTTCTATTCTTATTGTTTACGCTATTTTTTTGTTTAGAGAAGTATAGAAAATAAGTTTTTTTTTATAAAAAAAAATGGAAAATAAGCGATTAACTGAAAATAATTGATTAATTGAAAATAATCGATCCATCTAAAATAATCGAAAATAATCGATTATTCTAAAATAATCGATTAATTGAAAATAATCGATTAATTGAAAATAATCGATTAATTGAAAATTATCAATTAATTCAAAATAATCGATTAATTCAAAATAATCGATTAATCCAAAATAATCGAATATCGAATTAAAAAAAATATAATATCCGATTATTAATAAATTAATTGATTATTTTGCTCACCTTTAATTGAAATATTAAAAAAAGTTCTAATTCAGAAACAAAAAACGATATCAAATTAAAATCTTCAGGAAATATCAAGCTTTATAAGGTGATGAAATCTATTGATTCTGAAATGAAAAACTAAATAAAAATTACGGGTTAAGGTGATTGAAATATTAAAAAAAAAATCCTAACTCAAAAACGAAAAACAATAATAACTTGAAATTTTTAGCAAAAATCAAGCTCTATATGGGGACAGAGCCTATGATTTAAAAAAAAAATTGTGAACAAAATGGAGGGTATTTTGATCAAAAATTAAAAAAAGGTATATTGAACAATTCTACTTTAAAATAGTAAAGGAGATGAAAATCGCTAGCGGCCCTAGCGGTGCAGTGCACACACACCATTTACTGTTTGAGTCCATTATTGGTAAAACTTGCTATTTGCTAGAATGCATTTTCTTGGGAAATCAAAAAAAGCCTTTGTTTATGCAATATGAACTTGGTGCTCGGTCTGGAAATTTTGCTATTTTCAACAGCTTCTTTATCCTCAAACAAGTGGAGCAACAATCAGTCATCGGGGTTCCAAAGGCAATGTTGTAATTACTATTTTCATATTTTCGGAAATAATTAAGCTTTATGTGCATATTCTGAGGCACTTTCCGAAGATAAAGGACGAAAAGTTTCTTATGATTTAAGTTACATTGCAAATAAATCGTCACGCTTGTCTTGATTCTACAGTAATGAGACTCGGTACAAGCAAGAGATTCTATAAATTTCTTGATAAAATTTCTTTTATTATCGTTTTCTGGACCCACTCTATTGCAAGCCCTGCGTCCCCTGGGTAGCTCCCCTATGTCAACCCTTTGAATACAGTCCTTACTTAAATTTGTAACTCGGAGGAATATTTTGGCGCATACTCTAATCATTTCACCGTCACTTAAAGGTGTTTGTCCTGTACAACATGTCAATAGCAAATAGTCCTATTTAATTTTATCTTTTGACTTAACAAGTAGGCATGAAAGTCTTTAAGATGCTTCATTGAGAGTTTGGTACACTAATAAGGCAACCTAGGTTGTCCCTTGTGTCCACAAGTGGGAAAGGCCGACAGTGATTTTGATATATTTCTGCAACAACGAAAACTCGGACTTATTTAAAAAAATGCGCACCTAAACCAGTGTAAAACCCGAAAAAACAAATTTTAAAACAACTAAAGCGGCTGTCTTATACTTATTAATTTAAAAAAATTATAAGGTCAAGAATTTTATGGAACATACCGTGCAAGTTTTTTAATGTTCTTTTTATGTTTTTATGGCGTTCTTTTTCGTTTGGACTAGGTTTAATAGGCACTATATTTTCACCTTCTAACTCCATAATGATTAAAAACAATTGAAAAATTCCGCATTTCGAAAGAAAAGCACTTGTATCGTCGTTTAAATCCAGTCTACTGAAAATGCGTTTGCTGCAAACAGCTGTTAAGCACGTGTTTATCACCTGGGACCTGGACAACGAGCGAATAATTTGATTGGCGACAGAACAAAGAGCGAGTTTTGCAAGTGAGACGTCAAAACAAACAGCCAGTTTTGCATATAACCGTTATTTTCTAGACACTATTTGCATGCTTTAAAGGCAGTTTTGCTAATATTTGATTTTAATTTTCAAATTCCTCTTAAAATTTACAAATATTTGCACAAAAAAACAAATTTTACGGTTTTGTCGATTGGCGAGTTTTGCAAATAATAGACTCATTTAATGATTAAAATTATCAGATTATCCATAAAATCTATTTAACGTATATTTTAGAATGTCTTAAATAATTTCTGTAAAATGTAGACGAGATACTTGAATTCTTTTGGCAGTTCTTCAGCTCTACACCACTTATGCATACCAGCCGCCACTGCTGTAAGCCTCTCTGCATAAGAGGGTCCAACCACACTATTCCATAATTGGGCGGATATATAAGTTTTATACATTTAAATACACGTGTGAAAATAAACTTTTTGAAAATATTTTTTTAAAAGGTATAATTTATTATTTGCCCGTTTACTAATGTCTGAAATGTGTTCCAACCAGGTCAGAGACGAATTTATAATTACGCCCAAGTATTTGTGAGAGTTCACTGTATTTATCACAAAATTATCTATCTTATAATTAAGACAAGATTTATGCTTACCGACATGAAGAATCACGTACTTTTCAATGTTAAGAAGAATCAGTGGCGAAGGCACGGAGGGTTTTGGGGTCAGAACCACCCCCCATGGAGGGTCCTCGCATCACAATTTCCGCTGTAGTATTGGCGGTGATCGCTATTGACTGTTTGTTTTTATTCACTTTCTTGATGAAACCCCCCCATAGTTCTCAAAAAGCCCTCCAATGAAAAATGGCTGGATACGCCACTAAAAGAAATCATCCTGTCAGAGCACCACGAAAATACAGAGTCGAGATTATCTTGAATTTGTATCATTGACCCTGTCAATAACCGGGTTGCCATATCATAACCTGTCATTATCTACGGGCAGCATTTTGACAAGTTGTTGAAATGCCTCATCCTAAAAAAAATTCTATCTGGTCACCATTGATACCAACTACCATAAGGATGTCCGAATAACTAACTGATGTTAACGATACAGAAGTTTCGTGAGGTTTTGATTTACCTCAGCAACCTCCTTGAACGTTATATTTACGATTTATAGTAATGTTATTACGTTCGCTTAAAATAACATCGCCGAAAGGCTTGACAACGTTATGTGCTAGCTGGGGTATTACATACTTGTCTTCCGAAGACAAATCAGGTTGAGGATTAAATAAAACAGGAATTACTCCAAGATTTAAATTTATTTTTTACGCGGAATACATAATGTATTGAACATATTCTACTGTTTTTTATCCGTTGTTCCTCTGGTTCTCCAAATTTCTCCTGCTTCAAGGTTTATTGGAAATCTGCATAAATAATAATATATTAATCAATAACGGTTTCAATTATATTACAAATAATACATACGGTTTACCTTTTAATATATTTTTTATTTAATTCGGTACGTACCTAATGTACCAAAACTAATACTTCCTTAAATATAAAAGTAACACAATGGTAGCGCCTTTGGATTTTGTGGAACTACTTCCTATGTACGTAAAACTTATAAAAAAATACCAGAATCTCTCTTAAAAAGAAGCACTAGGAATTAACAATTTAGCTGCTTATTGACAGTTCAAACAAACCACAAATAAACATTAATGATGTAACAATAGAACCTAAACCTCTAAGTAGCCACCAGGGTCCCTAGCTCTACGCCCTTTTGACTTTTTTAATAGGTAGTAGTTGAATCTTGTATTTTTTTTTATTTCAGAATGGTCAAACGCCCTTGAATATAGCCCAGAAGCTCGGCTACATCACCGTGATCGAAACGCTAAAGGTGGTAACAACGGTGACCAAAATAACAACCACGACCACCACGAATATCGAAGAGAAATACAAAGTCCAGGCGCCGGAGTTGATGCACGAGACTTTCATGTCGGACTCCGAAGAAGAAGGCGGTAAGATTCGAAACGTTGTAGCTTAAAGTAGAGTTTTATTTGTTGTGTTTTGAGTTTTTTTTTTTTGTAATAAAGTGTAATGAGAGAATTTCCAAAATGGTAAAATATATTGTAGGTATATTTTTATCTTAAATCGGGTTGAAAAATTGATATTTTGATACTTTGTTCTTTAATAAATAAATTAATTTGGGAAAACTGAGGATCACAATAGAGATAATATAGTATGTACATACTATATCTTTTATTAAAAATAAGAAATACACCCTGCTCCGAAGCAAAAAGCAAAATATGCGTATTACGCTTAGATATTCATAAAATTATTTTTAAGATTTCTTCATTTTCCAAATATTTAACTTCGCAAAATATCCGATTTTTGCCAAAACAGATATTCACGTCATATCACGTTTATTCTGTAATATAAACGCATTGAGCAATTTATATAAAACTACGCTGAAAATGTAGGCATATCCGCGACCTTGAGGATTACTACTATTAATGTGTAATATAAATATATACATAAAAGATCCTTGACAGTAAATAAATAAATTATCTGAAATAACTCACCGAAAAAGAATTTTGTTATGATAGTTTGCGATCTTCGTAGTTTTAATTGAAGGCAAATAAAATTATGTTCAGAATTCCGTAAAATTGTCTTAAATTTGTTATTAAGAAAGTCTTAAATTAATTATCCTACGTCCTCCTTATTTCGGTGCTGATAAGAGACTATTTATTGTTCAACGCTTTTTCATGAAAGCCCTGAAAATTATTTACTATGGCTGCTTCAATATCTGATGTTACAGTATCAAATTATGATTTGATCGTTTTAAGGAGGTCCTTTCGCCACCGCTTTCGCCACCAATGTTAAATAAAAAATATTAGATTATGACTAAAATTAATTTTTATCTAATAGTGAACTTTTAACTATACCTTACCGTGCAAATTTTTAAGATTTTTTTTTAAAAATTGAGTATTTGTACAGTGTCTTACGAGAAAGTAAGATCTCAACAACAATTCTCGAATTATACTATACAGAATGTGAATGGAACTTTCGCACTCTTCCTCACATAATCTTCACTCACTATCTTCTAACAGTCCCAGTTTACAGAGGTGTTCCAAGCCTGTTCTTGCTCAAGCAGATACAAGCTTTTGGTCATTTCTGGTTATAGTCACCCAAAAGTAGAGATCATTCCAATTGTCCGTTCTTCTATCGCACAATTTTTTTTTAGAGTTTGTTAGATAATTTGATAATTTGATGAATATGAAGACTTTTTCTTATAGTTATACTAATTTAGAAGAACATGATTAAAAAAGAACATTAAAGGTGCTATAACTACAATATTAACAGATATTCAAAAAATTCTTCTTTACCGGACGCCTACATTACAAAAACATTGTATCTTCTACATTTTACACTCCTGTGTTAAATGGATTCAGCTAGGCATTAATAAGTCAGTCAGTTAGAAAGAGCACTGTATTGATTTAGAGAATGTTATTTTATTTTTTTTTCTTCTATTTATGCCCTACTATCATATATTTGTACTATTCCGATGCAACTACTTTAAAGGATGTCTTGTCAAATTTATTTCTTTCATCAATTTTAATTTTCCAATATATTTTTGTTCATTTTACTATTTTTAATCTATCTCCGGAGTAAGTTGCGAATATCTGTATTTTGCTTTTAAAAAACATAAGAGGGTGAATTCAATGAGAATTCAATTGTTCTTCTGTCTGTCGTTCATTGGTAGTTTTTAATGCGAAAAATCGAAATTTATTTTTAGAAAAAATTAAATCAAATTTTACTACTTTTCTCTTACTTTTGTTCTTACTTTCTTGAATTATTTTAAAGCATTTTTCCTTATTTAATTTAATTTAATTTTCCTTTTTGTCTCGCTTCGTATTTGTTTTACTTTTACTCTCATTTTGTTTTTAGTTTCTGTTTTCGTTTTATACCCTTTATGTATCTGTTTAAATTTTATTATAATGCCTTTTTTTTACTTATTAATTCATTATTTGTCATCGTACTGTGTTTTAGTAGTATTTTAATTTTTTTTTATATTTACTCAAAAAATCTTTTTTTACATTTTTTCTTTTGAATTTTATGTTTCATTTTGGTCTTTATTCTATTTTCTATTTTCCTCTTTCCTTCGTTTTCTCCTGTTTTCACCTTTTCCCATTTTTTATTTTAATTCTTCAATGATTAGTTTTCTCTGCTTTACTCACTTCATATTTACTTTCTTCTGTACATTTTGAATATATCTCCCTTCTTTACTTTCTTTTTCTTCAGTTTCAATTTTTATTTCTATTGCTTCTACATTTGGCTCTTCAAATTCTTTGCTTCTGGATTTGTTTCTTAATTTACATCTTTCATTTTCTTTGTTTATTCACTATTTATTTCTATAATTTCGTCTATTTTCTTAATTATTTCTTGTATATCTTGTTTATTATTTTTCTCCATATTCTTATAGCTCTCTTGAACATGATTTACAAATATATCAATTTTATTCTTATCCATCCATCTGTTTCCTCTAGTTTATCCATTTTTTTTATCAATTCTTCCTTATCTTCTTTTCTCTTTTCATCCATTTTCTTACTGTTTTTGTTCATTTTTTTTATATCAATTGTTGTCTATCTTTCTTTATTTATTTCTTATCTTGTCTATTTTTCCTCATTTCTAGCAGCATCTTCATTATTGGATCATCTCTTTTTTCTTTATCGCATGTAGTTCTATGCATTTATTCCACTATTGCATCCTTCTCCTGTTGTTTTTCCCCAGTAACTGTATCTTCTGAGTTTCACTAACTAACTATAAAAAAAGGGATAGATGCCAGATACCACCAAAAGTTTGCATTGCAATATTTCACTTTTTTATTTCCAAAAATCTATATTCCTCTTTTTTTTTCTATTATTCCAAGCGGGAATTGCAATTTCAATTGTATTTTGAAACACTTTTTGATTTCTTCGTCGATTTAGGTCTCTGTGGAGGTCGACAAACCTTACGTATCACGTACATCTACAATTACACGGAGTTTTTTATTCTGAAATCGTTGGATTAAATTTACTTTGATTCTACTGGCACATCCTCATAGCTGTTACTTACCATTAGCCAGTACAGCTTCCTATATTTTATGCCAAAAATTTATATAACAATTTATTATTTTTTTATATAGTGTGGTCTCATCATTTCATATGATTCCACCTGTACAAATTTTGACATAACCAAAATTCCATAACATAATTATATACCATTTGACCTTCCGATCTTCATTTAAAAAAATTAACTCCACGCTGGTCTATTCGACCTAGATTCATTTCGGTAAATGAAATACCTATTCAGACAAAAGCTTTCAGCTGTTGCACTTTGTTAAAAAAAGCAAAAGTGAAGTTAAAAATAATAATGTTTTAATCTGAAAGTAATATTGTTAATAATTGTAGTTTTATTAATCATGTATGTGATGTCTCAGAATTTAGGTGAGTAAAAACGTTATAATGTAATGATCTCATTCATGAAGTCTGGTTTGTGTGGTGGTGTGTGGGAAGGAAATGTTAGTACTTGACTTACCTTTTTAATCTTAAAAATATATTGTTGTATTAAATGCACGAAATAACTCATCACAATGCCGAAAGTCTTTTTAAAATTTTGTTTCAAAATTATTGCATAATAGTAGTTTATGTTACAAAGACGAAAAGTTGACTTTTGAGAAGTAGTCGAGACTGACAACTCTTAGGAGTCCAAAAAAAAACACTTTTCGTCCGTCTTTCATGCATTGTTTTTTATTCAAAAGTGCTTAGATATATTTTTTTTGGTGTCATCGGCATCAACTGCTACGGTTATTAGCCTCGTGTTCTGTGTAGGCTTTGTTACTGTTTCCCAGTGCCACTTTAGGAACAGCACTGTTAATTAGTACCCAACAGTGAATGGTCGAGTGGGGAATCCTACCAAGGCATCAGAATTAATTTAAAATAATTAAATTAAATGAAAAAATCCCGGCCAACGGTGGTATTCGAACCTGGGACCCTTGGATCCGCAGGCAGAGACTCTACCACTGAGCCACCCATCCCGTTAATCTTAGATATTAAAAATTATAAAGAAAATTAAATCTGAAATGATATTATTTCCAAAAATATTTTTCCTTAGCTGAGTTAGCTATGAGAACAGTTGAAGAATGTCTGTCGTGTCACTGTGCTCATGTCAAATTAATTTAATTACCTAGTTTATTAAAAAAATACACAAATGAGTAGTGACGAAGAATTCATTACGGGTATGCTCCCAGGAAATCAGAGACGCGGCAAATTTGGCGTCTTTGAATTTAATTCCACAAAATCAAAAATGGTATACGAAAGAACCTACCTCAGATTTGAGAATTCTAATCGGTATGCAACACTTTATACACTTAACTTTAGAGACTATGGCTGATTAAGTACTTTATGAAATATATACAAAAGTTCTAGTTTTCGACTATGTTTTCTGTCTGAAAAAAAGGCGTTTTTTGACACATTGGAATAAGAACTAATATACTAATGTATACTACATCAAATCTAATAACAATATCAAGAAACAAGCGAATTAGTGTTTCTAAGACATCAACACTATGTATTCTTAGAATTGTGGGATATAGGCAATGAGTCACGAAATAAGGACGATATTTTTTGTACAACTGTTAAAAAGAACACCAGTATGTATTTAGTCTTCTATGTCGATTTAGTGAAAATAATCTGAGAAAAACTGGTTTTTGGTTTACCGATAAAAATAACTAAAAACTGAAAGTAATATTAATCTGTTACACCAAATCTAGTCACTAGAGAAATGTTTTGGTTACATTTTAAAGTGTTTTTTCCTAATTTACAATTTTGACATTTAATTCTTTTAAAGTCAATGTAAAATTCATTGACTAAATTCATCGTGACGTCACTGATAAACCTGATAGAATGGCAATTAAGAGAGTTCTCAGATGAATAAAAAAGCGGTTGGTAAGCAACGACAGATATATTATAAAAAAAAT